CCCTTCCCTAAACCCAAACCAACCCGGTACGTTACTTCTTCGTCTCGTAGAAGAACGTACGTCACGTAGTACTCCTACCTCTCTCTCTCTCTCTACTTTACTTCCTACTATCATCTTCCTCTCTCTCTCTCTCTCTCTCTTTCTCTAGATTTGCAATAACTTTGTTTGAGCAGCTGAACTCTGGGAAAGTCGTAGCAGTAGGCCCTGGTGGGCGTGACAGAGATGGCAAAGTCATTCCTGTCTCTGTGAAAGAAGGGGAGACCGTTCTTTTACCTGAATATGGTGGAACTGAAGTCAAGCTTGGTGATAAAGAGTAAGTAATGGAAACATTTTCCCCAGTTACTTTTTAATTTTGATATCGGGGTGGGATTAAATTCGTACTGGAAAAGAAATGAAGTTCTGAGCTGTGTGGTTGATAGTATTTGGGGTTTTTGACTTTGCAGGTATCATATTTATAGAGACGAAGATATATTGGGAACCCTGCACCATTAGGAAGAGGAATGCGTTATTGGGTTTTGAGAAATTTTGGGTCCATCTTATTTTCCTTTAATTACTTGTTATGTGTAGGTTTATTTGAACTGAGGCTGAAAAGCATGAAAGAATGGGTATGTTAGTTTGAAGATTTCTCTCTGTGATATGTAATGGGTAGGACTTCTTTGTGTCACAGAACATTTGGATTTTGGATTCTCATTGTAGTGTCTTAGAGATATTTTACCGTGGAAGTTAAAACTCTATTTTGGTCTATACCAGTTTTGGTGATCTCTCTTTTCTTAATCAATCAAATGGAAATATGATACATTTCGAAAAAAAAAAAGATGCCTGATGCAAGTAACAGCAGATTTTGATGTGGAAAATTGTACCCATATATTAGCTCCAGTTGCTTATGGGTCTATTGAAGGTAGGAATGTTGAGTATACATATTAGAAAAGGAAAAAAGTTTACATGAGGTTGCAACCTTAAATGTAGAATCACGTATGCACGTCAAAAATCCATCGAAAAAGGTTGTTTAAATGTTGCAAAAACCCTATAATCCATTATCTCGACATCGAGATGTATGAACATATAAAAAAGAAACTTTTGAGTCACTTAAATAGTGCATCTTGCAATAGATTATCTAGACAGTCAATTTTCTAGATTTTCATATGTTTATTAGATCTATTTGATTTTAACCACTTTTGGAAAAAGTTTAAAATTTCAGAAAAAATAGATTTTGAGATAATCTTAAGAATTTTTTTTCACCAAAATTACATGTTGTGATAAAATTTTGAGGTGCGCCGTAATTGGATTGTTTAAGGTTGGAACCTTATAGACATTAGAAAAACTAATGAAGCAGCTGGTCTTCATTTCTTATGATAAGGAACCACTTGTGATAAATACTTGTGATCTACCCTTAAGGAAGCCACTTAAAAATGGCACCATTAGTACCAAGTTCACCATAAAGATGTCATTTCTTCCCTAACATGACAAGATGGAAAGATACATATGTAGTCTGCTGTACACCACTCTGTTTTTGATAATGAACGGACCTTTTTTCTGCGAAATTGCAGCATCAAGTCCTTTTTGTTTTTGTGCTTAATATTGACTGAGAAATCATTGTCCAATGCTCGGTTCATTGTGCTGAGACATGCGACCAAATTACGTTTACGTCATATTCTTGTTTGTCTTCAAGGTTAAGCAGATCAGAACCAATGTTATGAAACTCAGCCCATGCATTGGATTGAGCCCCGGCGTGCAAAGCCTAAAAATAAAAATAAATGTATTAGTATTTATTACAAATAAATTAGTAAAAATTAAAATAATTATTAGAAACGATTAGAAGTCCACAAAAGATGAAAAGGTTATATAGAAGATGAATTATTGAATTTTGACCTATATCTTTAAATATTTCAAAAAAATAAAAAAAGGAAAAAAGAAAAGAAAAGAAATTAGACCATGTAACATGGGGACTTCTTCAGTCATTGTGAAAAATAAACATATTGAGATATGCTTAAACATTTGATAATGATGTTTTAATAAAATTTGTGATTTTTCTAGAGTTACTGTATAATGGCGAGGTGGCTGGTAGAACTCTCTTTGGCTAGAGGGTAATGAAGTAACCGAGTCCAAGTGGACTAATTTGAGTTCAAATATTGATGACACACATAAATGCCTTCAATTTCATGGACTTAGAATCAGTCCGAGTTTCTGAACATTTATAAGAACATTTTGATATTTTTTGAAACAATAAATTGCCTTCATGGCTGCATTCAGAAGTGTTACAACGAGGCTCTAATAAGCTGGACATGTGTTTCATGATTTCTCACTCATTTTTAACCACTAAAGCAGTTTGAGTGGTATATAGAGAATCACTCTTGGATTCATATACAAGACCTATGATGGTTCAATCAAGATGCCGCTGGTGGAATTAGTTGTTTTGAGCTTTTCAAAACTAAATAAAACCTAAAACAAATAGTTTAAAATTACAAAATATAATAAGAAATGTTGCCAACTTTGTTAACCCACTTATTCAATCAAAACTACGACCAACTAAAACTAGTCAAAGAGTATTTAACTAGACTCTTTTCACTTTGAATTAAATTGGCCAAGGCCCATATCAACAATCCAAACATTGGACTCATTGATCTGGTCCGGTCTTGATAACTATAGTTAGAACCACAAATTTAAGGCTGCTACCTTGCAGATTTAGTTCGATCGTGATAACTATACTTAGAACCACAATTTTAAGGCTGCAAGTGAGCTTCCAACCACAAACACTAACAATGATCTAGCATAATATTGTACGGCACGTTGTCTCAAGTCTCTTTAAGAGGTTTTTCATTTTTTTTTAGTAGTTCAGTGGGAATTGAACTCGAGATGTATAAGCCACTAAACAATTAACCCTGAGCCCAATTCTTAAAAGGGTAAGTCAAGGGGATTTGGGCCTCTATCCTTTGATGAGAAAGGAGTCTGAGACTTCATTCATGGGGGACGGTGGTACTGCCACCAAGGCTCCATCTCTCAAGTCTCTTGCAAAAAATTATTCACATCACCTTCGTACATTATGTCCCAATGCTGCATCATCTTTGTTAGTCAAGGAATCCAAAAAATTATTCACATCACCTTTGTACATTATGTTCCAATGCTGTATCATCTTTGTTAGTCAAGCAATCCAAGACTGATGTATAGATAAAAGAACGGGCATTTGACCAAAACAGAGTCAGGAAATAAGATGGCATTGAATTAGAGGCTTAGGCACCTAAAAATAGGGCAAAAATTTAGAGGTTTTTCAAGACCTTTTGTGCAAAAAATGCATGTACCAGGAAAGCCTATTAGGATTATAAACCATTTGATACCTGTTAACAAAAATATCCAAATGAAGCACGTCTAATGTTCCATTTTTGTTGTTCAGGATGCAAAATTACGAGAAATTGGAGACTGATATTATTACAGAATCAAGGTAAGAATATCTAATCATATTGTGTCAATTTATCGAGCACCGCCTGTCGTGTAGGTAAAGCAGGAATAGCTCCTCTCTCCGTGACTGTTATAGCTCCACAAGCATTTGCAAATTTTAGAGCTTCTCTTAATTTGTCTTCCTCCTGTTGTACAAAAACATTTAGTCAAAATAAATGGCAAAACTCATTCACATAAGTAGTGGGGAGAATTAATTACTCGACTCCAATAAAGTCAGAAAATGAAGGCTTGAAATGGAGGGATCCTGTCTTTCTTTGAATAATATACAAAAAGAACCTGGAAACTATAGCTGGCAGCCAACAGCAAACACTAAATAATTTGTTTATTATAGCCAACACGTATCTTGTCTCAAAATATTTTTTTAAGGTCGGTTATCAAAGAGCATCTGTTAATGAACACCATTGTATTGCATGCTCTCACATTTTCTTTCCTTTTTGTCAATGTATAATAAAAGAAGGAACATAAATATAAGCCAAGTAACCTGGTAGACCACACAGAAATTGAAAATCTATATTTCTAGATCTGATCAAGAGCGAGGAGACAGATGATGGATACTTACACTGGTTAGCGTCTCTGATATTCCATTTCTCAAAAATTATGGACCATTTTGTCTACACAGAGTGCCGCGTCACTGCCTCTATAGCGAAGAACACAACCAACTTGTAAGAGTTACTGGAATGAGGCACTACCCATTTTTAGCTTGAGTATGCACATTAATGGGATGGGGCAATTGAGGTATCCTTATGTTGAGCAAAGAAACTTGCAAATTGGCAGCTCCACTTTGGAAGCATGTATCAGGATAGAGACAATGCATGTTCTCCCTTGTAATCAGGAGAGAGAAAATAAACAAAATGTACCCCAAACTGCCGGTGAAACCAAAAGAATAACAATAGACCAATGTAATTGCCCAACTGGGCCGTAGCACAAAAGTAAAACATAAGAAGTGCCTTTAAGAACAAATTTATTACGACTGGAAGATTCACCCAATGCAGCTTCAAAAGTAAATGGTCTTTCAAACTTTGATAGCCCAGTGTTTGTCATTTTATGACAACATAAAAGTGCACCTGACTAAACACAGATCATGTTTTGGTGTCTTCAGATATCTTAAGCTATTCAAGTAGTCACACCAATTACCAGTATTTATGGTCACCTAGGAATTAACATAATTTTGTCTTGGATTAACAGGGTTGCACTCTGTTCATACTTTGGTAGAAAATACACCCCAATTTGATGTGATGAAGACGAAGTCAACTTCACTGCTATCAAGCAGAAGATAGATTAGTAGCACAGATCTCCTGTACATAGAGAGGGCTGTAGGTCTTCCACTTCAAAGTTATGGCTGAAGCATAGTTTAAAGCACCACATTCAACCATCTCTAGAATTATTTACCTAAACTATGGAAATATCTCTATGCCCACAGAACACCTATGAAATATTACCGAATAAATAGTGGAAAATATCACACAACAAATCTTCCAGAATGATCCTCAAGTTAGCCGCCCGATATGGTGATATTCGCCTTTGTATTCAAATGATTCTAGAGTTTTTAATATCATGCAAAATGTTCCAACAATGATTCTCAAGTTGGCTAAACATTTGACAGTCCACATTAAGCTCAAATTATCCTCAAGTTTTCATTCTCTTTTTCTTTCCTTTTCTTCTTCTTTTAGGTGGGGGGCCGGGGTGGGAACACTATATTAAGATGCATCTTCATGAAGTGAACCTCAAGTTAGCACGGCAAGTCGCAATCCCCTTTTGAATGGACTAAAGATGTCACGCCCAAATTTGTATCTCCCTAATCAGCAAAAAGAAAGGACTGACCCCATTCCTCTTCCTATTATTTTTAAAAATTTGATTGTTTTCAATTAGCCTGACTAAGATAGTGTATATGGAATGCAAGTTTAATAATAATAGGAGCAAAGAAGAGGAAGTAGCTATGATTGAAGGCAAAGAAATACCAAAAAGATAGCACTTTTGATATCTTGGGTCGATAATCCAAAAAATTGGAGAGATTGAGGACGATATCGCACATAGAATTAATGTTGGGTAGGCGAAGTGAAGATATGCAACCAGAGTTTTATGTGATTGTTGAAGGGGAAGTTCTATAGGACAGTTGTGAGACCGGCTTTGCTTTATGGGGCAGAATGTTGGGCGGTCAAGAAAATATATACCCATGGGATGAGTATAGCTAAGATGAGGATGTTGAGATTGATGAGTGGCAAGACAAGAACGGATGAAATTCGAAATGAATATATTCGAGAAAAGTTAGGTGTGGCTCCAATAGGTGATAAAATGAGAAAAAGTAGACTTAGGTGGGCTAGCCATGTGCACCGCAGACCCAGTACAACACTTGTTAGGATGTGCAAGTTGGTTCAAGTGAAAGGCTCAAAAGGGCAAGAGGTAGGCACAAAAAAACATGGTTGGAAGTAATGATAAAAGATATAAGGACTTATGGTATCACTGAAGGTATGACCCTTGATAGAGTAGAATGGTGGACCGGGATTCATTTAGCCGACCCTAAATAGTTGGAAAAAAGCTCTGATGATGATGATGATTGTTTCCAACTACTAAATCAACATAATGTTTCAACTAGCAAGTAGAACTCGTTTCAAGCAGGAAAATCTCACCCCCAGTCAACTCGACAAGTCAATTGACCAAGTCTCATAAATGAAAAATTAGAGCGTGCCCACGTTTTTCATTTTGATATCTTTCTATGTTGATTTGACCTATAAAAGGTCCTAGTAATGTATGAGTATCATGGTATTCTTAGATGACAAGCAGAGTTCGAGTCCTATTATAGATGCTTTACTTCATATCTTTTTGGTGGCTATTGGGTTGCAATTTTGTTCAAGTTTTGAACGTAGGTTTAAGTACCATAATCGAAGAAACATTTCATATATTATGCGATGCAAACTACAATAATGTGCACTTAGAGCAGACAGATCATTGATATTTATCATTAAGAAGGAAGAAAAGGAGACATTCTCAAGCCATACTTGGAAACATATATGAGAACCACACCCCAAACTATTTAATATTAACATCATAAAATATACATTGCTATCATCATCATTATCAACATTTTAGCCTTTTCTCAATTAATTGGGGTCCGCTAAAAAAATACAATGCTATCTTCAGATAAATCCTTTACAATGATCAATATAGATCACTAATAAAACAACTTCAAATAATATTCAAGAATAGTTGATGGCAGCTTCAAATCCCTTAAGTTCGTATCTAGTGACAGAAGTCAATTCAGGGAGATCATCAAACAATATTATATGAAAAGCCACGTAAGAGCCTCCTGCAACATTCAATTCCAAGAAAGGAAAACCAAAAAGAAAACTTTTCTTGAGTTATTTGTCCTCCAAGAAAGACTGATGTGCTAGTAACAAAGTAGTACTGCATCTTTTAAGAGCATCCAAATGAAGTGAATTCAGTAACGGTAAATTACAACCATGAAGCAATATGCATTGGCTCCATACCAAAGGAAAGCTTAAAAGGAGCATAGCCAAAATAGACAACCAAAATGAATGATAATGAATTAAAAGGGTTTCTTGGCTCATACATATAAAATATTTTATGGAGACATAGGAAATACCTTGAGAATGGAAATATCAGTAGCCAACTGTGACAAAATCCCAGCAACAAAGGCATCTCCTGCCCCTGTGGTGTCGATAGCTTCCACACTCAATCCATTAACCCTCCCACTGAATTCCTGAAAGATTTAAAGAGTTGTCATATTCTTATACCCCATACAGATAAAGAAGCGCAGACATACCATTGTGACAAATGCTGATTTTTTTTTTTTGCTAATCGATAGTCGGATTAAAAAAAACTCAAATAAAATGTACTGTCTCATATCCACCGATATGCCACAGATTTTCAAACGTGAGGGAGTAAAACTGACCCTATTGAAGAAGAATCTACTGATAATTAGACTCTTAGCTATGCAAATATGCATAGTTTCACTTATTATTGTTGCACTTTAAGCAATTCGAATGAACACTGAAGATCCCTCCATTGTTATCTGGATATAAAGCCTTAGCTATTAGAAATTAGATGTATTTTAATGCCTTGATCGTGTGACCAAATATTTTAAAAGATCATATCTTGCATGTACATCTGTTTCTGCCAAAAGAGCGCATTAGAAGCATAATGTTCAAAAGACAGTATCCATTACTTAATCTTCAACTCGATGTGATAAAGTGACACAGTAGTATGTCCCGAAGTTTATACAAAAGCAGATTCAGCATTTTTATCTGTTCTAGCTGAAGTTTTTAGCTTTCATAGAGGAAACATCAGTTAGGCCATTTTCCCTATATTGCATATATATATATATATATACATATATATATATATATAAGAAAAAGCTGGGGTTAGCCCACTAGCTTATATGAACATATGAGCCCAACCGCCCAGATTGAATCTGGGTCAATCTAACGATCACGGATGTCCAGTAGTGCTTGAATTTTATTTTATTTTCTACAAATCCAAATCACTTAAAATTTTAGGTGTGTGTTCTTCTCATCAAGGCACACCTAATAAAAATATTAAAAAAAGTATTCATGAAAAATAAAATGACAAACATACTCCCAAAAACTTTTCAGGGGTATTTTGGTCAATTTATTTCATGTAAAATATTTTTTTGATATTTTTTGAAGATTCACCTATTTTTGATGAACACGCGCCTAAAATTTCAAATGATTTAAATTTGTAAATAAATAAATAAAATTCAAGCACTACCGGACATCAGTGATCGTCAGATTGGCCCAAATTCAATCTGGGCCGTTGGGCTCATATGTTGATATGAGCTTGTGGGCTAACCCCAGCTTTTTCCTATATATATCTATATATATATATAATCATTCCTATTCCTTCCAGTTCATTAAAAACTCTTAATTTACTACTCTATCATTGATAATCCTGTTATTGAAATACAGAATCCCACAGAAGACAAATTTTGCAACTGTTTATGGCTAATTGTTGTTGCCATATTCAAAGAATTATTGACATGAAGAACAACACCAAACTGCAGTCGTAGACCCATAAGCACTTATATTTATGTCCACAAACTTAAAAAACAGGTTGTTTAAAGAGATCGATAAGACTAAACATAAATTAAGGTTCACCATAGCAATTAGAAAATGCAAAAACCAACATGGCTGCTCACCTTAGTGAAATATCTACATCCATTTGGCCCTTCAGTTACAAGAAGCAATTTGTGATTTGGACAGAACAATTTCCGAACCATAGAATCATCATAGGGATCTTGTCCATCGGTCAAAAATGCAATCTCTTCTTCACTGGTCTGATAGCACAAGTTAATTGCATATCAGAAATTTATCACAGATGTATAGCATGCAAGTGGTGGTCAACTGAAAGCAAACATATCCTGTACTTGGCAACTATGACAAGTTTGAAAGCTGTAGGGACCTTGATTATATCTGCAGTGTCCCATATGCTGAATATTCCCTCTCTGGCACTCTCAGCAGATGGCCATAATGGAAGTCTAAGATTTGGATCATATGAAAGAAGTGCTCCAGCATTTTTTGCAGCTTTTATAGCAGCAATATGTGCGGACTTGGATGGTTCTGATATCAAACTGATAGAACCATAATGCAGGATTCTGGCCTGTTTCAAGCAAAGAAAAAAAATGCATAAAACTAACTCAACACCAGATTAAACCAAACAGTTTGCTATTCATAAACTAGTGGAAGGTAGTTGCCCATTGTCAATCCAATACAATAACTTTTCCTACCTGTGTAATGATATCTAGATCAAGCTCTGATTCCTCTAGAAGCATATCAGCACTAGGATTACGATAGAACATGAACTCACGTTCACCATCGCTTCTCAATGTAACAAATGCTAGTGCAGTGCGAGCACCAGGATCAAAACGCAAACCCTTGTTGTTAACTTTGTTTTGCTTCAGAATATCAGCAAGCATATAGCCAAACTCATCATCACCAACCTGTGATTTCCATTGCCGAACACTTAAAAATGAAAAGTGGAAGCATGAAGCAGCCACTAAAAGTATGAAGAAGTAACAAGTAAACAAACTTTTTAAACATACAGTCAATTCTGATGTTCTTTTTTTTTTTTGGAGAATTAATTAATTCTGATGTTTATGAAAACATCTATAATTAATAATATTTGATGAGATGGGGATACGTGGAAACTTCCAACCAGGAATCAATAGAAAATAAGTACATAAATAATTTTGTGCGCTGAAGGCTAAAATCTCTCATTGAATATGCAACCCTAGCTTTGCATTAAGTCACTCATGACATGAACTTATGTAGGATGAAACACTGGTTTCTTGCTAGAATCATTGCTTACAAATAGCAGTATATATTCAATAGTACAGTGGATAAATAAATACATAATTTAGTGTCATTCAATGGCAATGAAGTCTAAAATCTGTCATAGCTACACAAGCATTGCCTCGGAAATAACGCTCCCTTTGACATAGATGTAGCATGGAATATGATATCCTGAGGATGATCTTAACTTAAAGATTTTATATAGTAATAAGTGCAATGTGCAACATAAAGAGCCGTAACATAAACTAAAAGGGAACTGAGACCCTTCTTAACCAGTAAATTAGGAATTTTTCTAATAGACATTCTTCATCAAAGGAAATTTCAACACAACTACGCCTAAATGAGTTAAGGATTTTTAGTCTTCAAGTAAACTAACATGCTTTAAGGAAGTACCTTCCCAATAAAAGCAGATGAACCACCAAGTCTGGCAATGCCAACTGCAACATTGGCAGGTGCTCCTCCAGGAGCCTTCTTAAACGCAGGTGCTTCAGCCAGTGAAAGTCCATTGATAGTTGGGACAAAATCAATAAGCAATTCTCCAAAGGAAACAACCAGTGATGAATCCTTTGACTCAAGAACATCAGTTACTTTTGCAACAGCTCTTGCATAGCCTACATTCGTAACAAGTATGTAAACAACGCGGTAAATATAAACATGTGGATAAAGAAAAATAGAACATGATGAAGCAGTGTTATAACACATTAAATGATACTAATATGCATGTAAAACCAGTAGGTTGGACAACAAAATGAAATCTATACTCGCTTTGAAAGGCAAGTTTCTCATTGAAAATACCTACTTCAAAACTGATGTGAAATTGTGTAGTCAGAGCATTGCATTATGCATGGAAACCATAAAAAGATATGCAAGGAAAAGGACATGTATGTTGATATGCATCGTTATTAATGTTTCTCCATTCAGTACAGTATAAGAGTACTCTCTGTTTACCCTCTCTTTGTGTACTTGTATATCAACAATAGGATTATATGCATTTTGATTTGTCTCTAAATTTCAATTTTCACATGGCATCAGAGCAAAAGGTTGAGGCTTCCACAAGCAGTTGAGAGAAGCTACGATGTCAAAGTTTCTGTAAAGAACGTTGATGTAATTTGTTCCGTTGGAAATAGACCAAATGTTTTGTCCTTCATCTTCAATTTCTGTCTTTCCACTTAAATAGACTTCTGTAAATTAACAGGCTCGGTTTATTACACCCAACCATACTTCAATTTCGTTTTAGGGTAATCCTGGAGGTTTACGGGAACCATGATGGGGAATATGCTACTCCCCCATAAGCAAGATCAATTCCATGGTTTCCTATTTATATACACTCCCATTTCATATCAAAAGTAGATTAAAATTTCGTTTATTACACCCAACCATACTTCAATTTCGTTTTAGGGTAATCCTGGAGGTTTACGGGAACCATGATGGGGAATATGCTACTCCCCCATAAGCAAGATCACTTCCATGGTTTCCTATTTATATACACTCCCATTTCATATCAAAAGTAGATTAAAATTTCATCGACTGAACTCCATGTTATCAAGAGATAGCATCAGAAGGATATAAGATCCAGAAAAGGAGCGGACATCACCAAATCAAATAGAATAAGAAGGGGAAATTTAACAACAGGGCAAAAATTTAAGCAAGAGCAGAAACTTACGCAACAAATAGGCAATAATACCAGAGTAAATTCTTGGACATCACATCATAGAACAATGAAAGCCTCTGAGTCTGAGCAAATTATGAACAAAACAATTCGAGGAGCTGCATTTTTCAGGAAAATAAATAAATTCCACACCTTTTGTTCTCTGTGGAAGAAGAAATGCAGGTGTCTCTCGAGAAATCAGCGAAAAACAAGAGGAAAAGCACGATCCCGTCGAATTCTTTGCAGGAAAAGAAGCAGAGGCTGAGAAATTGTTTAACAAGAAACTGTGAGAATCGCCTCTGCAGAAGTGGACGCCATTGAAGGAAAGATTGGAAGAATAGACAGCCATGATCCTGAGAGAGTGAGTGAGTTCAACACTTGAAATGGGAAGAGATTGAACGAGGAAAAGCCCCCCTTCTTTCTGTACAAATATATGATATGTTACTAAATCTTGTCGGTTAATTTTTGTTAGTTTGGAGAAGGGGCGTTAAAACCGATCGAGGAATCGAACAGTGCCTCAAAGCTGTTGCTTCTTACTGTTTACCAAAATTTTTGAGGGGTTTAGGCTTCCTTGAAGGGTCTCGGCTTTATCGAAACAAAGTAGAGCCTCGCCTCACCTCACCTCACCTCACCTCGAATTTTTATCTAGAAAGTACTCTGGGTTCTACAATCAAGTCAAAAGTGAATGTAAAATTCGAAGCTAAAAAAACGGTACAGATCTTACATGAACTCCTTATTTTTACCATGGTATAGATGATGCGTTACTATGCACACGATTTTTAGGTCTTAAAATCCTAGTCTTTTTCCCCAGACGATCGATTTCAAGGTTTCTGGTCACCAGAAATGCAAATTTGGATGACTTTTTTGAGTGAGGCATCACTCATTTTGAGAGAGCCGCAGCCCTATCAAAAAAAAAAATTTATTTAAAACAATCCCATAATATGGCCCGTGATAACGCCAAGAATTTAGGTTCGGACAGCTAACAAAACATAGGAACGCATTGGCAGAAGGTGCTGCGTGTCGGTAAGGGTACGGATATTCTCCAGGGCGGCAGGGGCCATGGTATCAGCTTTTCGCCAATTTTTTTTCCATTGAATGAGCTAAGGCGAACGGAGAAAGTATACTGTGTGATCCATATGAGCATCGATCTCTGTGGTCATAACTCACTCCACATCTAGTAAACGATGAATATCTAATAAACGAGAGTGAGTACAAGCCATCACGTGGTCTGGTAAGTCTAGGGGTGGGTAACCCGCTAACCCGACGGGTTGACCTGATTTGGGTTTAGTCTAGGTCCTATTTCTAAACCCGATGGGTAGGATCAGTGTTCGGAAGTAGAGACCCAACATTAAGTTAAGTCAAGTTTGGGTTTAGGTTGATCCAAACCAACCTGACTTTAATATTTTGCTTCTTATTTTTTATTGTATATTTATATAATCTATTATTACTTCATTAAAAATTTCTTATATATTTTTAAAATAAACTATTCTTGATATCTTAAGTTGATAATTCAGAAAAATAGAGACGTTGAAAAAGATGTCACGCATAGAATTAGAGCTGGGTGGGAGAAGTCGAGATGTGCATTTGGAGTTTTATGTGATCGCCACATACCTATGAAATTGAAAGGGAAGTTTTTATGAGATGGCTATGAAACCAGCCATACTTAATGGCATGGAATGTTGGGCAGTTAAGAAACAACATGTCCATAGAATAAGTTTAGCTACGATGAGAATGCAGAGATGGATGAATAACAAGACAAGAAAAGATAAAAATCGAAATGAATACATATTACGGAACTTAGGGGTGACTCAGTATGCTTCGATGGATTGGCCAGTGTAGTTTAGACCTAATACAATGCCGATTAAGAAGAACGATTTGGTTCAAGTGGAAGGCTCTAAAAGGGACAAAGAAATACCCAAAAGGATATAGATGGAAGTAGTGAAAAGACATACAGTGACTTATGGTCTGACTGAGGGTATGACCCTTGATAAAGCAGAATGGTGGAATGGGGTTTATGTAGGCAACCCCAAATAATAAAGCTCTAATGATTATGATATTTTTTATACAACATAATTTTTAGGGAAAATTATATAAATATTCGATTTATTTTCTGTTATTACAAAAATATCTAAAACTTTTCGTTATTACTCATATGTCCGTTTTTAAACTTCATAACAATTCTTAAAAAAAAAAACAAAACTACTCATTTTTTGTTTTTCAAAAACCGAAAATTTTCTCTCTCAATATGCAATTAGATTATTCCTTCTCTAAAACTGGTCCAAATCTTTTATTCCTCATATATAATACAAGGGTGCAGTTTGCATACGGATGCATCCGTAGGTGTAGAGGTAAGGTGCACCTTTAAATTTTATCATGGTAAATAATTTTCATGTAAAATGTTTTTAGGATTATCTCAAAATCTATTTTTATATCAAATTATAAAATTTTAAATTTAAAAAATGGTTAAAATCAAGTAGATCTATAAACATATGAAAATCTTGAAAATGGATGGTGTAGATAATATGTTGTAAACTGCACTATTTCTGAGATTTAAAATTTTTTCATTTTTCATGGTCATACATGTCGATGTCGAGATGATCAATCAAAGGATTTTTCAACATTAAAACTACCTTTTCCAATGGATTTTGAGGGGCATCCGTAGTTCTACATTATAAGGTAGCATCTTTATATAACCGTTTTTTTGTAATATAATACCCACGTATATTACTATTATTCAAATGGTGTATTGGTAAAACTATCCAGGTCTCTTCAAGAGGTTTTAGTATCAAATCTCACCTATTCCATCATGGTTGTTTTTTTTTGTTGCTTTTTAATAAAATAAAAAATCCATTTTTTTATTAAAAAAATTAGATTGCACATAGCAGGACTCAAACCCTTAACGTGAAAGTGCAGAAGCATGCACGATATCCGACAAGCTAATTCATCCCCAAGTTTAAATATTTGGGCATACATAATATTGATAAAAAATCGTTACACAGGCTGAGGCCAATTAACTTGGTCGAGTCCACAAACAATGCAATTTGATTTTTCAAAAACTGAAATTTCTTAAATTTTAATTTTTGAAAAACAAAAAATTGGTATTTCTTCTTTGTAAAAAAAATTTGTTATTAAATTCAAAAAATAGACATATGAGTAATAATTGAAAGTTTTAGGTATCATTTTCGTAATAATAAAAAATAAAACAGATATTTACATAATTTTTCCTAATTTTTAATATATTGTACTATTATATAATATTTTTAGAGTAATGATCCTATAGGACCCTCCCCTACTTATGTGTGTAGGACCCCAAAGGATCTCCATTAAAGTTAGCACAGATATCTAAAAAAGTTATCATATGGGTGTAGGACTTGACCTTTCTATAGATCCATACCAACTTTAATGGTGATATTTTGGGAGTCATATACACATGGGTGGAAAAAGGTCCTATAGGATCTTTTTTCGAATATATTATAGCTAGAAGTGTAAAAGGACTCTTCGGGAGAAAGTCTCTCTATCTTCCCTTCCACCTTTTTGCTGTTGTTGTTGAGAGTTAGAGGCATAAATGATTGAGAGAGAGAGAAAGAGAGAGAGAGAGGGAGTGCGCGTTAACGAAAAATAGGTAATGCATTATCTGCTCGGGTTTGGGTTCGGCCTTGATCCACTTGATCTTGACCGGACTGAATTTGAGTTTGGATCCGAGTCCAAAATGGATCTTATCAAGTCAGGTCAGATACGATCGAGGGCAACCCAATCCTTTTTTTTGGGGTAATTCAATGGGTATTTAAACCACCACGACCCAACCCCTTTCCCAAAAGTGGTAAGTCAATAGGGATTTGGGCCCTTACCTTTTGGTAAGAATGGAGTGAGAGACCTCACCATGGGCCTCGGCAATACTACCACAAAAGCCCCAACTTGAATATATTACTATATATTAAATACAAATAATACTAATTATGTGGTGTAAATAAATAAAACAATTTTTATATATTTTTTAGTTATAAATCTACCCGAAACCGAATCAAGTTGAGTCTATTTCTAACTTAGACCTAGTTGGGTCAAGTTGGGTTGGGTCAATCCGGTCATCACTCGCTTCCACCTAAGTGCATTGTTCCCTGTAATTTTTTTAAATAAGTTACTATGAATTTCATTCACCCATGATGAGTGCGTAAGCATGCTCTTGCCCGAGCGTATTGCATATCTGAGATCCCTAATCCCATTTCCTAATATATTTACTCCCTCTAACTGAAGTAAAGGCTTATTTGTCCAAAATTGAGAACCGCTTTATAAACAACAGTGGATAACCATTTCCCAAAAAAGAATAGATATTTGGTTCCTAAACATTTGGACCGACCTATGTTCAATGGGAAGACATTTTCAATTGAATAACTGAAGTGGAGAGGAGGAGCAAGATATTCAATGGTTAGAATCTAGCAAACGAGAGTGATTGTGACCTCCTTATAAAAGTAAATAGTTTCTTTGTATATTTTTTTTATCCATCTTAGTACAATTCTAGATTCCAAAGAGAACAAGTTCTTTGTTGTTGTTTTTTTTTTCTTTTTTATTTTTATTTTTTAAAAAACTATTATTTAGGAGCATTTTCAGTCCATTGACTATTTAAAATGTATCAAAACTAAACATGATGCAGATGTGTTCCCACGAAATTGGGCTAAAAGAATGGTTGTACAATGCCTACTATCTAGTCGCTCACACGAATAGAGCTTTATTCTTTTCCATTACTTGAGGGCGTTTTAGTGGTCTTGATGCGAAGGAAAAATATTTGGTGTTAATCCAAAATAATATTTTTAAAATCACATAGGAAGCTTATTTTATCTTATTGAAGATAGCGAAGTACTGAATTTTTTATTCCAATTAAAAACTATATACGGAGTTTACATAGAGTTATCACCTCTCCTTTATGGCCATGGAGCAAAAAGGAGAGAAAGGGGTATTTAGAGCATCTGAGGCATACGAGCGAGTATGCACAAGGCAGTGTGCAGGAGTATTTTAAAGTACCTCTCATGATTATGCAGACACGAATCCGATATAATTCCCATACGTGTCCGGTGATTTTATTGATTTTCAATAGCAATATGTATCAACACGTTATATAGAATTCTTGCATTTCTTTTATAATAAAGGGCTCATAATTGCATGGTAGAGAGTATGCTCCTCATTCAAGTGAGCTCAAACTCGAATTGTGGTGAGTGGTATTTTCTTTCAATATGTTTTTATAAAAATGTGTTTTAAAAAGATTAACCTTTTAAAAAAAGGTTGAACCGGACTTCAATTAGCCGGTTTGGATAAGAGAACTGGTGTAGCTTTTATTTTTAATTATTTTTTATTTTTTATTCTTTATTTTTTAAAATTTTTTATTGGTCAGTTCACTGGGCTGGATCACAAATCGAAACCGATTTTCTGGATGGACAATCCATTTCATCCATCCGTATTGTTAAGCCTTGAAAAAAAATAAGACAATAACAACTGAAGCCATAAAATGTTGCTACCACCAAGGGGAGTGTGCTTATGTATGCATGATAAACTACAAGAAAGAATATAATTTGAAATAAATAGATTCGGGAGAATTGTGACATGACACCAATAGGTGATAAAATGAGAGAAAGCAGACTTACGTTAGTTGGTCATATGTGGCACAGATCTAGTACAACACATGTTAGGATGTGTGAGTCAGTTTAAGTAGAAGGCTCGAAAGGGGCAAGGGGATAAGCTCAAAAAGGTATCGCTAGAAGTAATGAGAAAAAATATGG